AACAGTAATACCCTCATATATTAGAAATCGCATCTCCAAAGAGATAAAAGTAATAACTTCAAACTTAAATAGCAATCTACAGATAAACTCTATATGTAAATATTTACAATGTATATAAATATAAAATAATTTCATAAATAAAAGAGCGCCACATGTGCCCGAAGATGGTTACATCATCGGTATAAAAAAAATAAAAAATAAAAAATAAGTGAAGAAATAAACTGATTTAGCAAAATTGCAAATATAAAGAGTATTGAATTTATTAAAGCTAAACTAATTAACAAAACGGCATTGAAGATTTGGCATCCAATACCTATAATATATGAAAAGGCAGATTTTCAAAAAACTGAAAGCTCTTTAACAAAATCGCAACTTTCATCCATTATTAACTCTTTAATTCCTTCTTTAGATGATTCTGATCATTCACATTTCTGAGGTTTATCAAGTAAATTTTGTAATGATTTAATAAATATTCTTCAAGAGATTAGAAGTATAATGGCCAAAAATAGTATTAATATTGACAGTGAAGAATAAAAAATAGATGATGCTTGTAATTATAATTATATTTATAATAAAATTTAATTAAAAAAATTTTTTTTTAAACTAAGCGGCAATCTCGCCTGTATGTCTTTATTATAGTAACATATGATTACATTATTATATTTAGTAGTTTTATTAACGAAAGTACAACTAGCCACATATATAACTTTAGTCATTATCTAATTAAGGGTTTCATTTGTAGGTTACCCACTAGATACCATATCTGAGACCCACCTTTGGATCCTCTATTTAAACTTTCTGATTTCTAATCCTATCTGCATATATATACAATACTTATATTACTATTAAGTAACAAATCAGGTAAGAACTGTTCAATTACTATTTATATCAAAATACTACCTCATTGGATGTTACTATGTATCCATAGTTCTACAACTCATCCTCAATGCAAACTACTAAGTATAGTACCAAGATTACTAACTAGATTTTATCTAATTTCAATATATTCTGTATCTATTGAAACCAATTTTTGTGCCAAAGGTGTTCAAATTTTGGTAAGTCCATTTCTTTCTCATGGTTTCTTTTTATGTTTACTGTATCACTCACTAGTATACCTTCTCTCCATTTCTGATATATTTACTGCTTCTCCTGCATTGAGCACCAACTCTCCATATTGGAAAACTTTTTCTGCGAACTTCCTTATATACCGATCTTCTATTTATATGAACTTAGCTACAGGGCTTCATATATATTTATATACTTCCGTAAATTACAGAGTTTTGCCTTCAGCTAGAATTGAACCATTGACCTTGTCTGTGGAGAGAAGGGCATCTAGACCACTAGGCTATGGGATTCCATCCTTAATTAAAAAATTTTTTAAACAAATTATTTTTTTTATCAATAAAAAATTTATTTATAAATTTTTATTATATTTCTATTACATAATTTTTATTATATTTCTGTTATATATTATTTAATCTATTACAATATTATTCTAAAATTTTTTCAAAATCACTTCTAAAGTTCTTTCAACAAATATCTATTTAGACAATTGTATTATATTTCATTCCTGCTCTAGTTTACATTTCCTAGTAATGAAACTACAAAAAAAAAAAAGTATTAAAAAAAATAGAATAATATGAAAAAAATTTAAAACTAGTACTTATCTTATCAGTCAATCAATTTGTCACATCTAAATTTTTTATATATAAAATTATAGCAAAAACATATAGAATTACTTATAAACTTTGAAGCTG